AAAAAAAAAAAGAAAAAAATGAAAGAAAATACAACCGGCTGTTAACTATCCGTTTAAATTTGCAAATCGAGCGAACGCCGGATGGATATGTCCGAGGAACTTTCACTTTCTTTACTTACAGTCAAGATGCTTCTTTTTAGGTCCGATCATCTCCTCCGTGGTGGCCTTGCAAACAGACTTGGCGAGGCCCTGGCCGGCGATGCTGTGCCTCGCGGCCAGCAGCCTGTCGTTGATCGTCTGTCCCGCCATACTGTCCCGCTGTCACACACAGTGAATATCAGCAACAGTCAGCAACAGCAGTTCACGTACGCGAATTCGGCAATTTATCCGGCGCGATGGAGTTGTTCCCCTCGTACACAGGAAAAACGAGAAATGCGCGCGAGAGCGAGGGCGACGCGAGGAATTTTGACGATGAAGCGAGAAACGGGGTGAAGTCGGCCCTCTTCGGCGCGACGCGGACGGATGGACAACGGATTTTCGGCACTGCAACTAACTTCACCGCACACCGATGACACGACACACTCGTACGGCGTAAACGAGAGCCGAGAGACCAAGGAGCAGGCGCTACCGCGCGAAGGCGCCCGCAACGTCCCTCTCACACACGGTCCCGATATTATACTTGGCCCGCCGCGGTGCTTTTCCGGTACCTCTCCTCGTACTTGTTCTCGTCCTCCTCCTCCTCTTTCCTCGTCCGCCGCCTCCGCCTCCTCCTCCTTCTTAGCCGGTTCGGTCGTTCGCGCGACGCGAACAATAGCCCGCCGCGATTTCTCCGCGTTCACCAGCAGCGGAGCCAGGCAGCTCGCGCTTAGCTTTGGCAACGGCTCAGCTGGACGGTGTAACGTCGGCGGCTGACCTGACGGCGACAGCAGGCTGCTTCTATCTGCCAAGATGGCGACGGCGCTCAGTGCGCCGACCGTTCCGATCATCGCGCCCCCACTCCGCCGCGCCGGCCGACCAATCACGAGCGCTCGCCGCGAATATGGTGCCGCTGTGACGTCACGCCGACTAGTCGGCGTGACTAAGATTTGAGGATCGAGGATATATTGAAAGGAAAATGCGCGCTCGTTCGGATTAACGATGACGCTTTGCTCTCGATCGATTTAAGGGATACTTTATTCATCGAGAGGGAGATATTTTATTTATTCGCCAGTTTTCATCGATGTATACACTTACGATAACGATGATATCGGCAACGTGATTTCCTAAGCCGTTCGATCATCGATTAAAAGATATGACGTGACGTTAGTACTCGTCGCGTGGACATTGCTACCAACGTAAAAATGGTTCTCCAAAGCCGAAAATTTTTACCATATGGGCTGCGGTCGGAAAGACGCTAGAAATGCTTCAAAGCGTTTGATTGACCAATCAGAGCAAAGAGAGTAAAGATTTCTTTATTCTAATTGGTTAATGCAATGTTTCGAAGCATCTCTAGCGTCTTCTCGACCACAGTCAGAGACACTATTTCGAATATTGCAACATTTTATGCTCGTGATAATAATTTTTTTCAAGCGCAAAATGTATTTGATAAATGATTTTGTAGAAAATTTTTGTGGAAACGAAGAAAAATGGAATGCTTGAAAGTTTTTTTATATATGATATTGTAGCTGTGGTCGGGAAGAGGCTAGAGATGCTTCGAGATACATTGCATTAACCAATCAGGATAAAGAAATATATTTACTCTTTTTAGCCAGATTGGTCAAACAAACGTTTCGAAGCATCTCTAGCGTTTCCCGGACCACAGCCACATTTATGCTCAAGCCTAGCATTGTGCGATAGGCTTAAAAATAAAGAATAAAGCCTATCGCACAATGCAAAAATACAGGCAATAGGAACAGGGAATAGAAATTTTGGAATAGAAACTTATATAAATACGCGCCCGTCCTAGCAAATAAAATGAATCACTGTTATTGGTTAGGAACAGGCAATAGAGAACAGAAATCCAACGCGTCGGAAATTCTGTTCCTATTGCTTATTCTATATTATATTATTATATTATTATGTTCCTATTGCCTGTATTATCGACGAGATACTATTAAAGACAGTCAGCCCTGGGTAAATTTTTGTGACCATCAAGCGGCTCCGGTTGGCCCCGAGGTACTTGAAGATAATTACACGAATTATTTAATTCATACGGTTATTTTACTTCATCCAGTTATTGTTTTATTATCGAAAATACCGACAAGATATCATTAGAGACCGATGATCTTATAGGATTTAGCATATTACTGGAAAACAAACTCGCCACGCGCTACTGTAGGTAAGTAAATCTTTGCATTGTCGATAATAAAACAGTAAATTTAAAATAAAATATTTATTTTGTTGTTCTTGAGGCAGTTATATAAAAGATCTTTACATTTTCGATAATAAAACAATAACTGGATAAACTAAAATAACGCGCAGCGAGTTTTTTTTCCAGTCACACTAAATCCCATAAGATCACCGATCTTTAACGATATCTGGTCGGCTGAACCATCATATTTTTACCGACCGAATTTGAGGTTTTACCGCAACTTTTTGATTATACCAGTTTTTGTAATGGCTATACAGAATTACAAATGCTTTTACATGATTAAAGTACATACATCAATGCTCTATGGGACAGTCGACTTTATGCTAAAAAAAAGTTAAAACATTTTTTAACTTTTTTTCGTTTTCATTATATTGTTACTTCACCACTTGTCTCTTATAAACCTCAGAATAATGAAACTGAACCTCAGAAAATTACTAAGCATGGCAAAAATATAAAAATTAAGATATTGAAGAAAAATCAATCAATAAAAAACACAATATTGACATCTCTTCAGAACAATCTAGAAAAGAGCTTTTGCTTGCAAAGATAAATGAAGCAAAAAATATAACTTCCGTTGTAAATAATAGATCATAAATTATAGAAGCTGCAAGACAAAGGCAGCAAACATATGATATAACAAAACAATTTAAATTATCCTCTACATCACTTCAACATATGATATATAAGAATTATAAGAGAAATATTACAAGTCAACTGATGATGCAAGCTCAGAGTTTAAAATGTATTTTCCGACGAGATGTGATATAGAAAAAAAATGTTCATAGCATTTTACAGTACAATACTTCAATGGAAGCGCAAAATATAAAGAAATTTAAAAAAATTAGAGTTCTTCAGTTGTATCATCAGATAATGATAGTTTGTTTCCCCAAAATCGTACGAGATTGCTAGAAACAGCAAATACGTCAAAAGAAAATATTTCTGCTTCTTGTGATGTTGAATTTATTAAAAAATTACCATCCGTGATTATTATACATTCTCAATCTGAGTTCAGTCAATCTATTGATGCTTCCCTCACCAAATAAAAGAATTATGTACATCTCGCTCAGTTCGTCAATCAGGTACAATTAACTATTTTTACTTTTTTCTAATTATTTATTATATTATATTAAGTTGTAATATTTTGTTTATATCACATTTTTAAACTGTCACAGACTTTATCTGAATTCAAAGATTTTCAAAAAAAGATTACATTAAAAAAAAGATACATTCAAAACCAAGAAATTAGTAGTAAACTAGACGTAGTTATTATGAATTTAAGTGGAGATTATATCGCTTTCTTCTTCCAAATGAAAAGAGGATAGTAAGACCAATAGATCTCTCTATATTTCCACTAACAACTGATAAAGAATTAGAAAAATTTGAAACAGTTTTATCAGAAAATAATAACATAACAGCAACTGTAGGCTATAAATATATTTATTTTTTTCTTAAATGATTTTTATTTTTATAATTGTTAATATTTTGCTTATAGATTTGTTATATGAATCAAATTATTAGTTCTAGAGATAATGTGAAAGAAATACATATAAAGTGCTAAAGAAGCTTATCTCAAACACATTGGCATCAAAGTTTAATTTGAAATAATTTTCAAATAATTTTCACATAATATGAATTATTGTATGATACAAATCTGGGACAATATGTTTTAATACGACCCAGGCATACCGAGGTATATTTTTATATTTTGCTTTGATGGAAGTTTTATGCGATTTAAAATTTATGAGAAATTTTCTTTCAAATTATACACCCTGTAAGATATACTTTGCAAATCAAAAGAATCCTAATCGCACTAAACATCGATTATGAATTGACATTATAACATATACCATAAATACTTGCGGTTAGTTACATTGATCTCATATATTTTTTAAATAGTTTAACAATTTGTTAACAGTGTTTAACATTTTTTTAAATTTATATTTATCTTCTTATGTACTTAGCGAGTGTTTTTCTAGGAGGTATTTAGTATAAGATTATGGGGGATTCAAAAATCTTATAAAACTATACCAATCTACGAATGTGCAAAAATAATAAAGTAGTGAGAAATGTTTAAAATGTATATTATTTTCGTCATTAAACAAGAAAATCGAAGAATTTTTAACAAATGTCTCTAAAAGTAATCATAATTTCTTATTCGATTGTGTATATTATTTGATATAATACAATTGTGAAAAAAAGCAGAAAAATAATAAATATATTTTATTGATCGTCGATTTTCATAATAAATATATTTTATTGATCGTCGATTTTCTCGATTGTATAATGGAAAATCGTTATTTTTTGCAATATTTGATCATTGAATTTTTTCGGCATTGCTTATCTGTAAAGCTTGCACGCTACACATAAAATTTCTATGAGAATTAAAATTTTTTTAACAAAATATATACATGTAGTGTAAACGTTTTTGAAAGTAGTTCTTTTTTTAAAGGAACTTTCTCTTTTTCGAAAACAATAAAATTTCTTTGAAGCTCAACGGGACTCTCAGGTAATACATTCCTCTGTTATAAGAGCATTTTTATTGATACTATTGCGCACAGCAATTAAGACAAAAAAAGATATTCATTTCAGGCAATTTGAAGAGCATGCAGGGATCGTTGGGTTTATCTATTTTTTTTCACTCAGTTTCATTTGCTGAATCCGAAAATCATAGTAAAAATAATCTTAGTATCCGGGAAAATTTTTGAGACATATTTTAAACAGAAGAAAGCAACGATTGATTTTATCACTTTCTCGAGTCATAACAAAGGAATGTTTTACCTGAAAGTCCCATTGAGCTTCAAAGAAATTTCATTGTTTCCGAAGAAAAGAAAGTTTCTTTAAGAAAAAAATTATTTTCGGAAACCTTTACATTACATGTATATATTTTTTGTGTTCTCAGTTTCGTTTCTCTTTCGGGCGTATTGTTACATGGCAACTAGTATAGTGGGAGAAAGTATAAGACCTTTAGGTTTTCAGGTAAGGATTTCAAAATAAGAGTGGACAGAGAGTGGAAGACTTCTGTAGTGTACATAAAACACGCACTTGTGCTCTCTGCAATCGGCAGACACATAGGAACAGTATCGCAGTAGATCGGTGTGCTTTTAAAAGCAGGGAATTAATTACACGCAAATAATTTGTTGCGAATATATCTTAAATTACATTATTTTGTTGTGTTTTACTGATTTTTTTTCGTAATGGCTACGATAATGTGCTTATCTCAGGAGGTGATTACCATTATTCTCGGCTACAATGATATCAGTGTTGAAGATATCATTAACTTTAGATGTGTGTGCAAGCAATTCCGGTGGGCAGCCAAATATGAAAAACAGGGTGCGAGCAGTTATCTTCAAAAAATTTCCTTTAATTGTTAAACTTATTACCTTTAATAATTAAAGAAATTTTTTTAAAGATAATTGCTCGTGCACCCTCTTTTCTATGCTTTGGCTTTTTAGCCCGTTGTCCTACCCATTTTTATCTTATAATGAAAAGAATATAATATAATATAAATATAATATAGGGAAAGTAGGGTAAAACCGAATATCTTTTTGGATTTGCCTTCCTACAAAAAATCAGAGAGTAAAAAAAATTTTGCTGACCATTAGTAGTTTTTAGTGGACTTAACCTTAAACTATGAGAAAATGAGGATCATGAATAGTTTGCCTTTGCAAGAGATTAAGCATACAAATGAATAATCCAAATTTCTCAGCAAAATTCAAGATTTATTTAAAAAAAAGGTAAAACAAATTTTTCTGTCAAGGTATTCGCTGTTGCTTTTTATAACTTTAAGCTATCTTTTAGGCAGCTGATGAATTCCATCTCGGAAAAATGCTGTGTCTTTGGACATGTTAAAATCGTCAAGTCATTTTTGTATCTCATTCACTGATTGGATATTGTTTGTCGATCAGACTGAAATCGCCGCTTTCAAACCATTTAAACCAAAATACACACACATCGTACGATATAACACTTTCTCCGAGAAAAGAACAAATCGATTTGCATGCTTTTGCAGCATCTTTTCCTTGTTGGAATTTGTAAAAAGTACAGTATCGGACATGCACTTTATTTGTTGCCATTTTTGACTCTACTAAACTGAATATTTTTTAAAGTTATGTTGGTATTTTCGCGAAACTAAATGTTAATTTTAAAAGCTATATGTTAATACTACATAACCGCATAAGAGCGGGAAAATCAATTGATTTTTAAATTAATTTTTTAATTGCTTAAAAAAATTTGGATTATTCATTTGTACACCTAATATTAACAGATTCGAGTCATTTTAAATGAGACTTTGTTTGCAGAAATCATCCTGTTGTATCATGGACATACATCCACTAATATTGTTTAATTTCTTAATAACTATTGTGAAATTTACAAAATGGTAGAGAATTTTCCTGTTTAATTTAATCCGCTCTACTTACACACGTGCGTTCTATCTTTAATTATTAGACGTTTTGAATTAAAACGATTTAGAAATACTTATTGATCGACAAACTCGTTGTACGACAAACAAAATATTCATATTATGACCATTTTCACACGACTTTAATATTGATAAATTATTTTAACTTGTATAAAAAAATTAATAAATTAATGTTAATGCATTTAAAAATAACTAGTTTAAGTTAAAAGTTAACACGTTTAAAATTAATTAAGTTAACTTAAAAGTTATTAACTTTTCAACCTTTTAACTTAACTTTGAACTTTTTAACTAGTTTCTAATCAACCCTGTACAATGTCAAAAAAATCAGTCTTTGGAACGGGTTGTTACTATGGTGGCACAATGGCTGCAACCTGAAAAAGATGTTTTTTACTCGTGCATAAAAGCATCATTAGATAGTATCGCACTAGGGGTACTGAATTGCCTCAGAGAAAAACATCCCGACCATTCGATATTCTCGACGTCCGCTGAAATGTTTTCATATTGGAAAAACAACAATATCGACGATAATCATTGGAACGAAGCAGAAGGAATGCAGATTATAGATACACTGGAAGAATATATATTTAGCAAATTAAACTTTCGATCAAGCAAATGGGACGACACCAATTTAGAATACATGTGTATAGATAATGTAAGTTATTATAGATTATTATATATAATATCTTACTTAATTATGGCCAATTATATATGCTGTGAGCATGGCCATATGTTTGTTATATTTTAAAGAAATACTCTCGCTCTAATTAATTTCTGTATTATAATTTCTGGCACAGGTCTTAAAAAACAAATATGGCCAAGAATACATTTTATTAATAATATATCACAGCGTGGCTAGAAGACTTGGTCTACGTTGCAATGTAATGTGCATCAAAAGATGTCAGGATCAGGGTAATTACTTTTGTATCGCTTGGAAACCAAACTAGTAAGTATAATATTAGATTTAAAATTATCTGACCCCCTTTCTGTATTTTTACTCTTATCATACACGCACACGCACAGATATATAATTTTTTATTGTTCGCAGTGCCACGAATAATTCAGAAAATATAAGATGTTTTAACATAAGTTTTAAGAAATTCCCGGATTGTCTTGTGTCCAACCAAATGTTACATTTTAGCACTCTTATTAGAACACTTTCACCTGAAGATTTCGATGAATCACAAGTTATGAATCTAATGATGGAAGCAACTAAACGGGTTGGCAATTACTCATACATGATTTTTATTAATTTTAAGATTAATTAATAAACTTCTAACCTTGACAAAAATATGAGTTAATGAAACACGCTTCATAATGGAAAAAGAATTATACAATCTCTTAGTTTTTTATTTGTAATCAGAGCTCTGTTCAATTTTTTCTCTGTTTAATTTTTGCTCATGTTTAATTCCTTTTTTCAGTTTTGGGACATATTGGTTTGGCAAATAGTTTTCAAACTGATGCAGTCTGAAAAATATGATTGCGTTTTTGGGATTATGCCGGATGGAACGTTTGACTATACTGAATACGACAATTTTAATATGGTACGTTAGCGCACTATAGCATACAGTGCCATATATTAATATAGAAAATAATAATATAATAGAAAAAAATATAATATTAATAATAATAGAAAAAATCTCTGAAGTTTCTCTAATAACACATTCACAATTTCATATGAATTATAATTATCTATAATTTACCTAACTGTAATTAAATTTGTTACAAAAGTCTATTCAATAATTATTTATAAAAAATATCAATTAAAATCTGTGTGGTCTTACACTTTCCAGCTTGACCTTCGCGTTAAAGAAACAGAACTGCTACACACAAGACCAGAGGACGTAAAATTTGCGGTTGGAATGATAGTAACACATCAACCTACAGATTGTGCCGGCGTAATAGTTGGATGGCAACGACATCTTGATAGACGACATCTTGTCACAATCTCCGCAAACAATGTGCCGGGCTCTTATATACACATGTATAAATTGCCGTTGAATCACTGTCGTAATTATAATTTTATAAAGCAACAAACAAATTACATCATTCTTACCGAAAATAATCAAATTTGTTACGTGGAAGAAGGTATGAATATCGTGAATTAAACGCGTCTTTATTTAAAATTATATTTGTTTATTCTACGAGCTCATCTCTTTTTTTATTAAAATAAAATGTTATTTTATTTTGATAGATTTTGTTTCCTTTTTTAATTTAATTATTTTATTTATTTTGGTTATTATTTTATTTATTATCTTATATATTTCATTTGTTATTTTGTTTATCTTTGTTATCAAAAATTTATTTTTTATTTGCATTTTTGATTTTAGATGTTATAACTTTAACAACGCCAAAATGGATCAATAATAGCGAAATAGGTCGCTATTTTTGTAAATTCGAAGGCACGCATTACGTACCAAATAAAATGCTGGCGAGATTTTACCCGCAGGACGCCGCTATAACTGCCCAGACAACATTACCTGAAAATTAATAGTATAAAAATTACTTCGTGCAATATTTAGAATGTACAAAATTTATACCAAATATAATATGATAAAACTAATAATAAATAAAAGGCTCTTCTAAATGTAACAAACAGATTAAGAAAATGGCAATAAGAGTCATGCGCAGTAATTATGGCGCATATATTTTATTTAAATAACTGTGAGTCATAGAGAGTACGTACCTTTTGATCCTTTCTTCGGATCATCTTCAGCGCAAACAAATAATAAATTAACAAACAAAAAAAATAAAAATAAAAATGGCAATCAAAATATAAAAAAGGAAATTATAAAAAATTAAGTCAAGTTAATGTCTCTGACGTCATCGTTTCCACGTAAAATTTTCTTAGAGGTGCGGAGTTCGACACAGCACGTTCAAATTGCGACGCTTCTCGATTGATAGGCCAAAAGGCACAGACAAAATGACATAATCGGTCTCAGTAAAATTAACATGTTTGAGTTTAGATGAGACTGTAACGAGAACGTTGAAGCACACACGGTAAAGAACGAGAGATAAAGATTATTTTAAAACTAGATGTAACTTACAGATCTGTGTGATAAACAATAGAAAACAACGCACGCAATTATAAACTTGATAATTATGGTGAACGCAGACTAACGGATGTAAGATAATAGAATATGTCGCTGAGACGTTCAAAGAAACAATAACAGTTATATTTCAATTTCACATTAAACCAAGGCGAAAAAATGAAGCATTGTGTATAATGATACATACAGTCGAAAATAGCGTGATATTTAAAGTTTTCGAAGCTTGTCGATAATATACATGTAGGCCTCAGATAAACATTCCGTGTCAGTCTAGATTTAAACTTTAAACCATTACGTTGTCTTTTTATTCACCATTTCCGAGATCAATATTTTATTAAAAAAGGGTTCGTCATCCAAAACCTTCACCCCGTCCCAGTCAAAATCGTGGTTGAATTCACGTCTGTGATCTGTCTGTTATAACTGACAATGAGTATTAGAAGTGTTCTTTCTAATATGATTACGATGCTCCGTCACTCTCATATTTAATTGTCTGTTTATCCAACATAAGATACATCACAATTATTGCAGTTAATCTTATATACTACATAGTCCAGTAAAATAGTATCAAAAACACCGAATATCTACAAAACGGATAGACAAGCCAATTTTTTGAGGGTGAGTAAAAGGTCATAGGAGATGCCCGAATTCACAAAGTTCCAACAAAATTTCCCTGTGCGTCGGCGGCCATCTTTAAAATAGGGGTAAGTTTGGATACTCGGCTCCTATTGGTCGAATTTTTTTTCTTTTTTTTAATTTTGTAAAATAACTCAAAAAGTACTTAATAAAAAAATACTTTATTATAGCGTTTTGAAAAGCTTTCGAGATAAGCTACAAGAATATGTAATAAAAAAGGGGGGTTCCATTTAAGAAAATGTCGATCACATTGATCTCACCTTGAAAAGGTCACTCAAGGTCAAATCCATATTTTTATCGGCGACGCACACTAACAGACGGGCGGCTCACGAATATATATATATATATTTAATTATAATTAAATAATTATTAATTTATTAAAAATAATTAAATACATTATATTATATTCAAAATTCAAACGGTCTTCGCCTTCTTTAAAATAAAACGATAATAAATTAAATCAAAACACGACCGAACGAGAGTAAACAGCGTCTCGCGCTCAGCCGATCGGTGCGTGTTCGTTCGTTGTCCTTTTAAGGAAAACTCTGACAAATAACTTAGTTTCGAAAATTCTGCGAAACAAAAACTCTACTGTTGACAACAATATAGCGCGAATATTCGCGGTCGTTCGGGTAGTCTACCGCTGACGACGATTCGAACCAATCGATCGCGACCGCGCTCGCGATTCAACTTTCGCTGCGATCATTCTTCATTCTTTATAAGTTCGTCAGTTAGTTTTAGTGCTCAGACATTGTTAAGTGTAAGTGGGGAGTCCAAGAGTCGACGGCCGTTCCTCACTTCGCGAATGTCCTCTGCGTCGCGCTAACTACCATCTGGCGTTCGCGTACAAGATTTCTGATCTTGCGAGGGCTTCTAGCAAGAAGCGCCTTCAAGATTTTCGGTACGCGACAACAGGCAGTCATTTAAAGGACGATTACGAAGATTTCCGATCGCTGTCGCGAAATACGAGTCGTCGCTTGCTACCGGTGTTTTCTAATAAACTCGTTATTAAAACTACGATCTCACGTGAGTACTCTTTTCTTATCCAATTCCTCCAGTGAATCTACGGATTCGTGTTACACATTGCTTCACACTCAATTCTGAGCGTCGCAAAGTTTCGGGCGATCTCGTCGGGATCGACTCTCGAACACATATTAATATATATATATATATAAAATAATTTCTAATGTAACATTTTTTTTACTTTCCATTTTTAATCAGAAATCCTTAAAAATCTCCAATTTTAATTTTTTTTTAATTTTCAATTTTTGAATTATTTTCTATTAATTATTATAAAATTCTTTCTTAAATTAAAAAAAAAAAAAATTTATAATATAATTTATATTTTCACACATTAAACAGTAAAATTCATATTTTAATCTCCCCACCCCCTAATCTGTAATAAATATATATTGCTTTCAAGATTTTATTAAATTGAATTAAAGTTTTTGAAACATCTAATATACGTACAACACGTATCATCTTTAGATGTAATTGCGCGCAATTACAAGCGGTTATAAGTAAAGAAATACACGACCCATCGTTGGATGTTTCATTTAAAATAATTAATGCAAATTGTATTATTAATTTTGATAAGTTGACGCCAAAACAAATAATATGCGCAGACACACTTTCCCTTAACCATACTTGCAAATTAAATGCCTTATTGTGTAACGTGTCGTGTTTCTGACTACACTAATTTATTTGCCATATTTCGAATAATTATATTCTTATCTACATATTTATTTTCCCGAATCGGTCAACTTATCGTTAATTTTTTGCCGTTATCACTAGTTTCTTAAGATTTATTATTTGCAAAACTATTTTTTTTATTTGTTAATAGAAGAGAATAATATAATTTCTATAAATTTTATATTTTTCCTAAAAAAATCACAAAATACATATTTTTTAAATATTTTGTTTAGGAAAACATAAACATTACATTAATCAACGTATATTATTTTTGTTTCAGTTCCAATTTGGAGATCCTTTGAACAGCTCAGTCAAAGGGAATCTGAGAGTGTTTTGAATTACCTAACAAGATTTATGGACCGAATAGGACGGATACCTAGTCAGTCTGGTAGTGGTTTGGTTGACGAATCAAGCAAGTACGTCTATTTCGCTTTATTTACATATTTACTTATATTGGTCAACAACGTGACATAAGATTTTATTTCCTAATGTTATAATGTATATTTTACCTTTAGATATGTCTAAATTTAATTTTTCTATTAATTCTGTAAAATTATCATTTTATCAGTAATTGAAGTATTTTGTGTAATCATATTGAAAAACTCGTACCATTTTTCTATAATTAAAACTAGATCTGATAACCTCATTTGATCAAAAAATCATATTGGATAAGCTCATATCCATTTAGATGTTTGAAAAGTAATCATTCCTTAAATATAATTTACTTCATTTACTTATTCACTTACTTCACATTTCAGTATAAGAGGAATATTGCCTGCCGCGCCAAATATCACCGCGCCATTGATTCCGCCATCAAATAATTTAAATAAAGCGATCAACCAATGGACTATTGATGACGTGACGCAATTTGTATCATCTATTGATACATGCTTGATATATGAAACACAAATTTTAAATTTTGCGAGCAAATAAGAGCCATATACAGGATGATAATGTATCAGTTTCAAAGAAAATTTTTTTTTTTTTTTTGCTTTTCTGTTTGCAGAATTTCAAGGAACACCTTATAGACGGCGTCGGTCCACCATATCTAACTACAAAACAAATGATAGACATTAAAAATGAAACTTGGTCCAGCTCTAAAACTAAAACTAAAGCTGGACGAACTATTAATACAGGAAATGAGGGCCAACGACCAATGGTATTATAAAATTTAAAATTACTAATGTAAAAACTGTCAAAATTAACAAAAAAACATATTTCTTACGTTTATACTGTTTGAAAAATTAAATGAATAAATCCGGATTATAAAAAGAATTAAAGTATCACAAAATAATATAGTTTTTTACCTCTTCGTAAAAGAAAATAGTTGTAATTAATATTTTTCCTAATTTATGACAAAAACTTTTGATCGTGAATACCTCCCCCTGAAATCAACTGCTAGAAACAAAAAAAATCGAGTAATTTGCAGAAAGAGAAAGAGAGATAGATAATATCTTTCTACAATTTTTAGTAAATAACTTTTAAACGAGTAAGTGGATCTAAATCAAGTTTTGCACAAATATTTATTAAAGTTTTCTTAATATATGTGAAAATTTTTGTTTTGCTGGCAATGTTTTTTCCTTGTCAAATTTGTCAATAAGTGCTACAATACGCGATTTTCCATAAGAATTAATAGTAAATTTAAACTTAAATTATTTCCAAACCGTTAAGAGAATTGTGCTCAGGTTTTGCACAGATATTCAGAAGAAATAGTAGAACAGGCAGTAACGGTTCTTCATCTTCACTTCCGATACGGTTAACTATCGTCGACTCTCGAACTCCCCACTTTCACACATTCACAATATCTTAACAATAAAGAAGTAACGAATACTATTTAAAACACTAACGAATTGACCGCCGCGAGAATATGAGAAGCGATCGAATGCGAGACACTTTGTGACGAATTTGAGACGACTACGGCAGAAATGACACGAGCGAGAATAACGACAAGAGAAAAACCGTTAAGAGAATTGTGCTCAGGTTTTGCACAGATATTCAGAAGAAATAGTAGAACAGGCAGTAACGTTTCTTCATCTTCCGATACGGTTAACTATCGTCGACTCTCGAACTCCCCACTTTCACACATTCACAATATCTTAACAATAAAGAAGTAACGAATACTATTTAAAACACTAACGAATTGACCGCCGCGAGAATATGAGAAGCGATCGAATGCGAGACACTTTGTGACGAATTTGAGACGACTACGGCAGAAATGACACGAGCGAGAATAACGACAAGAGAAAATGATAATGATTGATGAATTTCGACCGGCTTGAATCGTCGTTGTAGGCAGACTAAATCGATCGACTGCGAAAGCTCGCGCTCTGCTGATGGCAATAACAAGGTTTTTCGACGTCGATCGTTCCAGAACTTGCTGTTTGTCACAGTTTTTCAGCTCGAAGGGCAGCGCACGAGCACGCGCCAATCAGCTGAACGCGACGTTATTTACTCGTTCGTGTTTTGATTTATCAACGGTTACCGTTTAAATATCTTAAATGAAAAGCGAAAACCGTTCGAATCTCGAACAGCATGATTTATAAACAATTTAATTGAATTTTTTGTAGACTTACTTTTTCCGTTTATCCACAAACATAAAACCAATAAAATCAGTAAATTAGCACTTTTGTATGTGAATTTTAAACAAGCAGCTATAATGTACGCGTAGTGTTCTCATCGCGTCGAACACTTCTATCTCCTACGATAAAGATCGATAGCTGAACGCTGAAACAATGGAAAATTATTTCTTTCAATTGTTTCGGCGTTCAGCAGTTTTCTGTTCTTAGCATATAAAAAAAAGATAGCCGCCTCTCGATACGTACCAGTGTGCGGCGCAGCGTTTGAAAATTAATCAATTCCTTTATCAATCGAAACAAAAAGATATGTCGCAGCATATTTTTATTTTAGTTATCCTATATATTATCATATCAGAAAAAAACTAATTGTAAATCTAAATCAGGAAAGAATATTAAATGTAAAAAAATAGGTAAAATATATAAATATTATGCACGTATGGGTGAAATATTCAAGAATATGCACTTATGGGTGAAATAAGCAGAAAGATGCTGTAACATATAGGGCTTAAAATGCATAGTTTCTTCTGAAACAAATTTATATCTAATTTATATCTATTA